GGGAAGGGAATTAGCGTTTCTTTCCATGGGCATTGTCTCAACAGACTGAGAGTAACACAGAAGGTACTCAAAGGATAACATCCATCGCCGGCTATTAATGAACCATCAGCTCCAAACAACACCCCTGGAGTGGTGGCAGACACCTGGTCTGGGAAAGAAGAGATAAGAATAAGCACCTAATTAGCATCAGAAGCGATCTGTCACCGGTAGGAAACCAAATACTAAGAACTATGTAACTTGGAACCGATGAACATTGAACCAAGGAATCTCTGTGGGTTTTAACTGCATAAAATTTGTGAAAAGTCCAGCAAAATCCGTGTGTCACGGAATTATTTTCTCTGCATACCCGGGCTATGGGCAGATGAAATTATTTCTGTGGTACATCCTGGCCAGAACAACATCCTGTCCAGAAATAAAGTAATGTCTTCATTCTTTAACACTGAAAATATAGTTAGAGGATTTTTGTTTTTCCTGCAGCTTCGGTGACAAAGGGACAAAGATGCTGAAAGGATTCTGCTTCCTCCACAGAAAGGGAGCAACACCAGCCTGCTCCCTCACACACATGCACAGGGAAAACAGCAGCAAAACCCATCCACACGAGCAATATGGATATTCTCACTTCTATTTTCTTCTATTTTGACTTTACAGCTCTTTTTATCCAGACTAAGGGATTAAAGAGCAAGACCTGCTGAGGAGGGGAAATTCCCCTTTGTGCAGAGGCCCCCATGAGCCATCACAGGAATTGCATGATGAAAGAGGATTTGAGTTGAATCCACAGTTCCTCTTGCTTGGACAATCAGGATTCCCACACATCTCCAGGACAGGCCCACACAGCCCCATTCTTTAAGGAGTTCCAGGTATATTAAACAAGTCATTCCTTCTTTGCTGTCTTGTTTAGAAATTTTTCTTGCTCTGAATCTTCTCAGAGATGAAGATCCCTGGACTAGCTCTCATTGGATTTAGCAATCCTATCATTTGAATAGAATTTACCAAGATTTAATGACTTTCTACTGTTTTTTCTTGAGAAGGAAGATGTCCCTGAAAGCTGATTGTATGTATTCGAGGATCTGTGACCCAGAACTTCACTAATAAATATATTTATCCACAGCATATGGATATTCCTTTGCTGGTATCACTTTTATTCTTATTCAACTTATCGACTACTCCCATTATCTCATCTTTATGATTCAAACACTCTTGGAACATGATGTGAAAAATCCAATGTACTAAAAAACAAGGCCACTTAAAACTAGTTCACATGCCATGCCCTTAATTTACTATAATATGAAAAAAATTTACCTTTGCTTCTGTTCTAAATGAGTTTCATGATCAGTTCACAGCTCCTTTCATTATATTTATATGCATGACATTACTACATTTGTCATAATGCTAAATGCCACAGCTTCCAGCACGAAGAAGAAATTGCCTCCCACTCTCACACAGGAACCAATTCCTACATGCCCATTAGCAGACATTAAATTTTGGTACCAGCACATTCACAATCCCTGAATTATCTGTAGATGAAATCATTTGAAAAACGTGTAATGAATCTTCTCTTATGCAATTTAGAAAACTTAGCAGACTTCTAAGATTTCTTCATCATCAAAGCATCCTTGTAGTTTGGCTAAAACATTCTCCCAAGCTGGTACTGAATTACTGATCACATTTATCCCTGCAAATGGATTTAACTCCTAAACCAGCTCACTGCAGAGTCCCACAGGCATCAGTGGCTGTATCTAGCTTGGACTCTCAGCAAACCACAGACTGAACAACTCTGCATCCTGGATTTCTGGTTACAGAAATTGCACTTCAGAGCACACTTCAGTTTTGTCACTGTTCCTACAGTGCTGTCAAACCAAGAGAGATTTTGACTTCAGAAAGTCAAATTATGGAAGGGAAATGGTTATCTAAGAGGTTTATAATAGATACCTTGATAACAAGTACCCCCTGTGTTACTACATTGTACACATTCTGATAAAAACATGACAAACCTTTCTGACAAATTATAGAGAATGGTCATTATGGAAAAGTCTTTGCCACACAGGAATTCAAATGAATCTCCTGGTGACATTATACCTACTGCCTCTTCAATAGCTCTCAGCTCAATTCCCAGCTTTCCTCTTACTGATGATAAACCGTGGCTGCAATAACACAAATAACACAAAACCAGAGCAGCACTCTCTGGCTGTTGGAAAATTGCAAATGGAAAATAAGAGTATATTTACGTAGAGACAGGCAGAGAGATGGAACAGGGGTTAAGACAGAGCACGAATGCAGTAGATAAAGTCCATCAGTAATTTAGGTTTATTTTTAAATAACACATTCCTGACCCATCTGGATTTGGGGTTCACGTCTTCACACCCCACACTCTTGTTTCAGGACTGCAGAACACACTGTTGAGATCTGTGTATTTTTTTAGCATTTTGCAGCACTCCTTTTTTCATTTTATCTTATATTTAGTGTAGACACCAAAACATTTTGAGATGTGTTTGTAAATACGTGTGTCTGTGCAGAAGCCTTTTCTTGAGCTGTTTCTGAAGGCTGTACCTTCTCCCTTGTTTTAGCTACAACGAGCAGGACAGAGCTAATGTCTTTTTGCCTACACTTACAAACTATCTTCACATTAAGGTGTCTCCAGTCTGGCTGTTTGCTCCTTTTTACTGAGCATATATCACTGGGTGTTTATCATATTGTTCCTTCTTGCTTCCAAGCAAAACCTCCCACTGAGATTTGGAGGCAGCAGACAGCCAGGCTGTGCATATATAACTGCCAGCCCTAACGCTTTCATGCCTCATTAAGTGACCTCCTAGTCTTTTTTGCACTTGCCCAGGGTTTTTGGATGTCCAGGAGCAGCAGCAGCACATCTGTCACAGGAGGGCAGCTCCGTGGTCTCTGTCCCACAATGGCTCTGATGGATCTGCCAGACAGACACTGGGAAGTGCCCAGTGAAACTGTGCAGAGCCCAGAGCTGCTACTGACAGCTCCTTTACTGAGACCAGAATTAGCTCCTGGGATTTTTTTTATTATTCAGAAAGAAAAAAGACAAAGTTGTGGTGTGCTCTGGTCAGAGCACTGCCATGCCAATGTCTGCATGTCTGCATGTCTGCTCCAGTGGTGTTGGTGTGTAAACAGTCACAGAAAACACACAGCAAACTGCTTTGGAGCAGTAATAAACCTCGAAATTGTGTTCTGAGAAACTATTCTCCAAAGCATTCAGAGAGGGGCTGGATTTATGAAGCAAGAACTACAGGCAGTGAAAAGCCCTGGAACTGGCAGTGCTGTTGAGACAGAACAGATCGTTTCAATACAAGCAAAGCTCTCTGCCTGTCTTCCCCTGAGACCCTCCCTGAATCAGCCCATCTGTTCTGTGCCCTGCACTCAGCACCAGCCATGCAGCAGCACTGCAGCACGCTGTGCTGCCTGTGCAGCTCCACTCCTGCTCCTGAACTGTTCCCGAGGGAACCCATCCTATTTATCCAACACAGTTCTCCCATTGTCCCCAGGCCTGTGTGCTCACATGGCTGAAACACAGCGTGCCTGAGGAAAGGCTTTGCAGCTGCGACACAGCAGGATTTTATTGCTGGGGCTCGGCCTTGGGATGCAGTTTCAGGGATATTCACCCTTCACCCTGCCATGAGCAGGCTGTCTGTGATAGCACAGAGCCATTTCGGAAAAATGCAGGGATGAAACCCTTGTGAAGCAGTTTGTGGGCTTTTTGCTCCAATGTTATCACATTCCATGGGGATTCTTTCTTCTTTCAAATGAGGCAGAGAGATGGGACTTCTGGTTGCTTTGAAAGTGCAGCTTATTTTTCTTATCTTCTACAGGAAATGTGAGTTCTTGTTACAGGTGTTGAAAGCGTGACCAGAAGTCACAACACTTATGGCTACAAGATTGTTTAAGGATTTATTAACTAATAAAACACTGCCAACAAAGATATTTATGTTTCTAATCCAATACTAAGAAATTTCGTCTAATTACAGTGTGACCTTTCTCAGTCAATCCTGTTCTGGCACACAGACCTATTCTAAGACTTTTGCCACCTTTACAACTACTTTATTCTTTCTATATCTTAAACTCCATAGCTAAATTTTTCTCTACTTGTCTCTGCTTTAAGCTTTAAAACTACATTCTCGCTTCTAGCACCTAAGCTTCAAAGCTTGTCTCAAGTTCAAATCCTGTGCTCTTTTCCAGACTTTGATTTACAGACCCAATGATCTGAGAATTTCTTGCATTTGGAATTCCAACAGCAGTTATCAAGGCACCCTCTGCAAGTTTGCAGACAGCTCCCAGCTGTGTGGAGTGGTCATGGACTGCAGGAATGGGGTGGCATCCACAGGGACCTGGCCAAGCTTCAGAGCTGGGACTGTGCAAACCTTGTGAAGCTCAGCAAGGTGCTGCTTTTATGACAGGATCCAGGGAAGGGCTGGAGCTGTACCAGGAGGAGTTTAGGTTGGATATTGGGAAAGGTTCTTTCCCCAGAGGGTGCCCAGGGAAATGGGCACAGCCCTGAGGGAGCTCCAGGAGTGTTTGGACAGCACTGCCAGGGGTGCACAGAGTGGGATTTTGGGGTGTGGATTTCCCCTCTACATTTGAAGCCATTTCCCCTTGCCCTGTCACTGCAGTTCCTGGGGAAAAATTCCTCTGGTTGTTGGGGATTATTGGGATATCCTTGCCGAGCCAGGAGCTGGACTGGATCATCCTCGAGGGTCCAGCCCAACTCAGGATATCCCGTAGCTCTATGTATTTATAAATGCGACATGACGAGAGGAAATTACTTCAAAATGAAAGAGACAAGGATGAGAGTGGATATTAGGAGGAAATTTTTGTCTGTGAGGGTGGCGAGGCCCCGGCCCAGGCTTGCCCAGCGCGCTGCCAGGCGATATGCGCTCCTCACGAAGGCGAACGCTGCGGCTTTAAGGAGGCGGTCGGGGCGTGTGCCCGGCCCGTGATGCCGCTCGGGGGGCCGGGCCGCTGCCGGGAGTGCCGGCCGTGCCGCCATGTACCGCCTGTGCCGCCGGTCCCCGCTGCTGTCCCCTCTGTCCCCGCTGCTGTCCTCGCCGCTGTCCCCGCCGCGCTGCCCCGCCCGGGCCGCGCTCCCGCCGGGGCCGGGCCCGCTCCGCGCCAGCGCCAAGGTACGTGAGGGCTCCGGGCCCCGGGCCGCGAAATAGCCCCGTCTAAAAGCGCCCCTCTGCTCTTTGAGCCTGTCTTTAAGGGGGTTTTTTTATGTATCGTCACCTCCCATCCCCCTGGGATCAGGAAATCGCGTTTATCCCGGTTTCTGGAGGAGCTGGTTTGCACCTGCTGTGGGCACGTTGTCGCTGTGAGCTTTCGGCGTGGTTTGTGCTGCCTCATGGTGAAGCGTCACGGGGTGTTTTGGATATGTTTTTATATCTAAACATGAGGTGTTTTGGATGTGTTTTTATGTCTAAACACGGGGTGGTTTAGATGTGTTTTCGTGCTTTCAGTCGCCTGAATTATGCCAATAAAATCGGCTTTTTAGCTGAAATATTGTCGCTGAGTGACATGGAAATAGACAGCAGCTTTACTTGGTAAGCTGGGCATTATTCCGTACATGACTGCCCTGGGTACTCCAAATATCTGTTGAAGTAGTTCTTTTTTTACATTTTGCTTTAATACCATTCCTGGTGTGACAGTCTGTGCATATGGGTGAATTGGAATGGACTTGGAAGTTCAGAACAAGCAATTTTTCAGACCTTACGATCCATCCGTAAGACCCAGAGCCCATGAGGCACAAAAGAAACATCCAAAATTATCCATTACGCTTGAAAATTTTAAAACTACAAGAATCAGGATAAGCTGAGCTACACAGTTTCCTGTTTTTGTATTTGTATGACTTCCTGTCAAAATGAAACACAAAATAAATAATTACAAAAGAGAAAAGCAGCAAACAAATGGGTTTGGGGTTTGGGCGGGTGGTGTGCTTACCATGAGGGTTGTAAGACTGTCTTGTATGCTAATGTATAATCTTAGTCAGTCCAAGAAATCAGTCAATAATATTTTTATTCTAATTTGTGTGCCTTGAAACCACCGTGGGACAGTGGTGGCAGGCACTTGGTGGCTGTACCTGTCCTGTGGTGGCTTTGACATTGCTGAGCTCAGCTGCAAAAAAAGGGCTTCTCTAATCTTTCCTGACAATTGCTGAGTAATTAGAGACAGATCCTGAGGTTTCTGTGGAAATGCTTCTTTCCTGTTTGCATTTCTCAGTATTTCTGCTCTGGTGAGCATGGAGGGTTTCCAAGGGCTACCTTATTGCTACCAACACAGCTGCTCTCCTTTGATTTCTTTTCAGATTGCTTTGGGATATGGTTTAGTATGAAGTTCTGCATTTGAAATGTACCCAAATAAAAATCTGTGGGTGACTTCTACTGTGACAAACATTTTCAGTGGCCTTGGGCTCTTGACACCAGCCCGGCACATCCTTGCAGTTGTTGTCTACGATGTAGGAACAGAGTTGCATGTTGCTGTCAACAGTTGCAGTTGTTCGTTTGATCGGGATTTATCGGAATTTAAAGGTTGGATCTCTCACATCAGTGAGCTGTTACTAAGTGGTACCAGGTGGGTTTCCAGTGCCACTGCCTGCTTAGCCCTGGAAGCAAAAGCTGTGCTCCAAGGAGTCACTGGATAAAGCTGAGCAGTGGGTGGAAACAAATAGCTCTCACACCTCAGTCATGGCTGCAGCAGCTGTGTGGGTGTGCCTTGGCTCACGTTTGGATCAAATCATCTGGCTTTAATTATGAAACTTGAATTGTGTAAGAGTTTACACCGAGCTCGGTGCATTCCTTTGACAGGAATAGTTGGGAGAAGGGAGCTTGTCTGGGCTCTGTCACAGCATCTGCTGTGCTGATGTGGAGGAGCAGAAGTGAGTTAGTGTCTTCTCAAATCACTCTGTGTGCAGGACACTTTTCATCATTTCAGCTAACTGTAATGTGATCTTGTGTGTAATGCTAACAAATTATTTTGTTTCTTTTTTAGAATGCAGCTGAACCCCTCAAAAAGACAGACACTGATCACAGTGCTGAAAACAAGAAACTCAACAAATCCCAGCAGCTGAAGCAAATTTTTAAAGAATATGGTGCTGTAGGGGTTTCCTTCCATGTTGGAATTTCCTTAGTATCTCTGGGAATCTTCTACCTGGCTGTGTCAAGGTGAGGTTTATACAGCTGTCTGTCATCTCTAGGTAAAGGTAAAAGTAAAATACATTTACCATTGTAAAGGAAAAATTTAGAGACAGGCCACAGGCACTTTATGCTTATTGGATCTATAGTTACCTCCTGAATTTTATGTATGGATAGGTCCATAAATGGACCTGATGTCCCATCAGGCATGAGACAAGAGAGTTGTACGTGGTCATTTTGCAATCAGCAGGGGAAACAGCAAACACAGCACCAACATAACTGACCGGGCAGAAAATGTATTTGTTTTGCAGATATCTTTTGTTCTTGCTTGGTCTGGAGAGATATAGCCAAAAAGTGCTCTGGGCTTAGAGATAAATATGTTTTTCTGGATGTTGAACACAGTTTGTGCAGTTGAACTGCAGAAAATAACAGCCACTAGAAGAGGATTAGAGTGAAAATATGGGAGAACCGTACAGGAGTCAGGTGGGGAATTGTGTGTGTGCCTTTGTGGGAATGCATCAGTTACATGAGGTATTCCAGCTGAGGAGACAGAGGACCTTACCTCAGACATTCCCTGCTGCTTATTCCTGACTCCAGTGGGAATATGTGAGTGCCTGATTTCTCCTGTTTACTACATTGTGCCACAGGGTCACAACTTTTTTTTTTCTTTAGATATGGTTGAATCCCTAATGAAATCTGCTATGTCTGTATTCGTGAACTTGGTGAATAATGCCCATTCGAGATCTTTAACACTTTAACACTTGCTAGATTTTAGATAATTTGTCATTTTGTAAACCTCTGTTAGAACACCAAGCCTAACAGCAGGTCCCTCATTTGGTTTGTGCTCAGGTGATCAGTTTCCCTAAGGCGCAGAACAGAGTTTAACGTGAAATTTGTGAAGATGAAATTCCAACACAAATTCACGGTAACTTTTTAAGAATCACTTTGCAGAGATATTTTATCTCTGAAGGCTTGTGGGAATTACTTCGTTGTGATGGCAGGGACAAACTCAGGCGCTCTCTGTATTCTGCTCTTGGAGTTTGCAGTTTATTTTGTAGGGTGTGGGTTTATGTAAGGCCCTGCTAGGAACTGCAGCCACAGCTCAGAGCAGGATGGAGAGAGAGGGAGAGAGTGAGAGTAGAGAAGAAGAGAGTTAAGAGAGCCTAAGAAAGTAAGACAGAGTAAGAGCATGAGAGAGATTTTCCCGTTTACAATACGTTAAATCTTCTTCTATGTTAAATATTCTAATTTTCACTAACCAATCTAATACAAGATACAAATTCTCTAACATTTGCTGCAACCTGTAAGAATCACTATATTACCATAGTTTACTGCTTTTCTTATCTCTAAATTTTATCTGGGACCCTTCCTGCCATGCCTAAGAAAAATGTCTGTTTGCTTCTTGGTATTGGCAGCATCCAACATTATCTAAACAAAGGGGCCTTCAGGCATTCAGTTGTTTTCAGCCACACAGTCAAAAATTGCTACCATTTCTATTTCGCTTATATTTTCCATATTCTCCAAGTCTTTTGCTAGGCACTCGCATTTATAAGGTTTCCCTAATTCACCCTTCCCAACAAAGGCTGAGTAGGAATTGTTTCACGTTAAATTCTGTGACCACAAACCCAGCACTTGATATATTTTCAATGCTAACCGAAGGCGGCGTTGTGCTGTTTCCGCAGCGGCGTGGACATGAGCGCGGTTCTGTTGAGGCTGGGTTTCAGCGAGGCCTCTCTGCAGTCCAGGATGGCAGCAGGCACCAGCACCTTCGTGCTGGCCTATGCTGTGCACAAGCTCTTCGCCCCCGTGCGCATCAGCATCACCGTGGTGGCCGTGCCCTTCCTCGTGCGCTACTGCCGCAAGGTCGGCTTCTTCAAACCCCCGGCCTCCAGCCCCTGAGCCCTTCCTGCCTTTTCTTCTCCCGTGCTCCGTGCCCAGGGGCCAGGTCTCTGTAAAAGACTCGTCTGGGTTCAGGTTGATGTCATCTTGCATTTCTTACTTGTTCTTTCAGGTAAACGGCGCTGTGAAAAGCGCTGTCCTTGTCTCCTTTCCCTTTTGCCACTGTTTAGGAAAAACCTGTTCAAATGGGATCTGGTTTGCACTTCAAGTGGGAATATTAATGCTTGACAATGAGCAGAGTTCTGGGTCTTTATAATCCAGCTTTAGCCTTCTTTTTTTTTCTTTTCAAAATAGACTCATAGCATTAATTTATTACTGTGTAGCTGAGAAATTGTGAGATTCTCTTCCCAGCAGAATAAACAATATCTCACTACATGGGTAGGTCTCTTGGTAAGGGTATGTATTGGAGTCTAAAGTGGCAGGTGGGTGTTTATTTTGCTAGAAGAGGTTTTTATTATAGCCCTTCTTGCAGTACAACACAGGCACTGAACTCACTTCAGTGGGAGTATGTATATGATTAATTATTGCAGTCATAATTGGTTTAGTCACACTAGGTGAAGCACTGTTCTGAAACTATGTGTAGTGCTTCCATAGTCCAAGATTTTATTGTTTGAAAATGTGCTGGCTAGGAGCCAGCCTTACTAAAGTCCTTTTGTTTTTAAAATGTCTTTAGACTCAGAAGAAATCCTGAGTCTACTGCAATCAGTGTAACCAGAATTACCGATGTGAACATCCTCCAAACAGCATCAAGGCAGAGAGAAGCTGGGGAGTTTTAATATTTTGAGATCTGGCTTAGTACTGAAAACTTTTTTTTTTTTAAATCTTAAAACTAACCCCAGCAGCTTTCTGCTCCTGTGGGTGAAATTCATATCTGCCCCTAAAGTTCAAACATTCCAAGTCCCAGCTTCCCAGGAAGAATTCCTGTGCTTTGGGCTGAGGCTGGTGAATGTAGCAATGAGGGGGTTTTGCCTTTCCTTATGGGGACTGTGTGGTGTTAGCAAGTGTGTTTACAGATGGGGACATCCACATTCCAGCTTCCACTTCACCTGAATACTCACCCCAAGAGAGAAATCAGTGTCACACTGGGGTTAAGCCTGGGTTTTGGGCTCAGGCCTGTGCTGCTGTGAATTTGAGCCAGAGCTGGGGCTTTCTGAATTATCTTTGTGCTTGCTCTTACCCTAAGGTGGCTCTGACAGATCTGTTCATACAGACTTCTGATTTAAGTAAAATAGCAGGAAAATACCCTGATACTTGTAATTTTTGCTAAAATTTAGTGACTAGAGAGGAAGGAAGTGTGGAGTTTTAATGAGAAGTGGCTGAGGAAAGGAAGAGCAAATAACTAACTTCTTGTTCTGAGCAGCCTCTTGCCTTCCCTCAGCCAGAACATGAAACTGCACCTTAACTCCTTCCTCCCACAGAAAGTTCACACGTTTCATGTGGACCAAGGATAAGAATTCCAAAATAGCTGAGGCAGCCTTGTTTACTTCAGTTAGAATAATTTCTGAGCAGGAGGGAAAAGGAATATTCAAAGTTTCTTTTTCAAAATATCATGTAAAGCTGAAATAATTTAAAATAAATGTACCTAAAAATCAGTAGAAGGCACCAGCACTAGAGTTTTCTTGCTGTAAAGAAACAGCTTCATATAAATTATGGCCAGAATTCTGATTACTTATAGGGTTGTATAAACTACTGGCAGTTTGTTTAGATTAAGTTTTTTTGCAAAGTATATTTTAAATTAATTCGAGAATATATTTTGAATTCTGGAATCCTTGCTTGTAGAAGGATCATTTTTTAAAATTGTTTGTAAAATAGCAAAGTCTTATACTGAAGAGACAATAAATTGCTTTCTCTTAGTTTGCTTGAAGTGTTTTACTGGAAAAGAGTTGGTCTTGATGTTGGTGGCAAGGGGCCTGACCCTTGGTCCATTTTAAGGAATGTCTTATAAACATCTGGTGCTGTTACACAACATGATCTGAAAGCACTGCTGAGAGAGAAAGGACTGGGAAATGTTACCAGATGGGAGCTCTTAGAATAAATTCATTGGAAAAAGGACCGAGCAAGCCAAGCGCTCAATTACCTTGTAATCCTAAATTGGGATTGTGGGATGGTGAATGACTTTGTGGTACCAGCACTTTGAGCTTCCTTTTTGACAGAGGTGGGAATTAAACTTTGGGAATTCACCTCTGGGACTTCAGCTGTGCTGGAGCCAAGCAGTGCCACAAGGAACCTCAGCCTGCTGGGTGCAATATAACAAGTCTTTATTTTACAAATTGAGTGCTCACATTTAAAACTAGAGACAAAACCAATTGCCACATCATTTTTAGAACACTTGAAAAACGCATTCACCCCGCTCAGTTTCAGGTTACACCACAGGTAAGACACCCTGAGCAGCCCAGGGAGGGAGGAGCAGGCATCTCCAGGATATTGCACTGTTCCACAAGCCAGAACAACTTCCTCGTGGTGGAACAACGAACCATTTTCAGCACAAGAGCCTCCAACAGCTTCATACTCACATCAGCAAACTTGGCCCACGTGGAACTGATTTCAAGTACATTAAAATATTCCACAAGCTCCAGCTAAAAGTCAAATAATTTTATACTGCAATTCGAGTTTAAGACATCAGCCAACCCAAGGATTTGCATCCCAATTGCCACTAGATTCCAAGACCTGCTTTTCCTATTGTAAGCATTACAGTAGTCACAGTACAAGGTTCCTCTTGCTGATCCCACAAGTCACCCTCCTCCAACTATGTTTTGGATGGGGCAGCAGCATCACTCTTCCTGCTGGTGGGAGTCTTGGTAGAGTTTGCAGTGATCCAGGGATGGAGCAGCACATCCTTCAGGGGCAGGCGGTGGAAGGGGTTGTGCTTCAGGAGTTTGGAAATTAAATCCCTTGCACCTTCCGTTACAAATGGAGGAAACTTGAATTCCACCTGAGGAAAAAAAAGAACACTAAAAATTAGAACCAAAGAGCTCTACTCAACCCTCCAGGTTACACCCTGAAAGCTGTGCCAGGCTTGCAGGCTGTACACCTTCTGCCTACTGAGAGGAAATCAAATAATTTCATTATAACCCTGAACAAGTTCTCACTGCTCGTGAAAGCATTTGCATATTATTGTATTTGTTTTCATTATGCTTTTAACTTAAAAGTTTGCTGAAACCTTTCCAGAACTAAAAGCATGACCCAGCTAATCCAGATAAGCAGTGGCACTTACCCTGGAAATAGCTTTGTAGGTTTCTTGATAGGTTTTTGTTTCAAAAGGTGGTTTCCCTACAAGGAATTCATAGCACAGAACTCCCAGGCTCCAAATATCCACCTTTTCATCGTGTGTTCTTCCCTCAATCATTTCAGGAGGCAGGTAGTCAAGTGTCCCACACAGAGTTGTTCTCCTGAAGAAAAGTCCAAGTTAATAATTGATTGAGATAATTAGAGGATCTATTTCAATAGCCAGATAAGAGCTAATGCTGGCAATCATCTGTACCTCAGTGCAGTCCACCTGAACGGACTCAGCACCACCAGAACAGCTGGGAAAGAAAAGCCTGCGGGACATTTTCTACTTGTGAAACCATCTCAGTCCCTGCAATCAGTCAGTCTTAGCTCCTTTCTTCACCCCACGTGCTAGAACAAATCTGCTCCTCCCTTGTCAGGTGCAATTTCCCACTCTCTAAGAGATAACCGAGTTCCCACACACCTCCCTTCCACAACTGCATGGCACAAAAAGTGACTCTACAAGAGGATTGCACTGCACAAGAAAATGAATTCTCACCTAGAAGATGGAGCATGCACAGACCAGCCAAAGTCAGCAATTTTTAACTCTCCATTAGATCCAAGCAGCAAGTTCTCTGGCTTGATGTCTCTGTGGATCACACGCTTGGAGTGACAGTACGAGAGGGCATCTGCAAGTTCTGTGATGTACTGGGTGCAGAAAGAACAATCTTTAAGCCACAATCTTTAAGACATTGCCACCCGAGTTTATCTGGTGACTTTTTGAGGCATAATTATAGCTTTAAGTTAAAGCAATTATTCCTTAGCCCTTGAAGCCTGGCAATACAGGCTGTGCCTTGCAGTATTAAGCAATTCTGAACATAAATTCCTGCACAGCACTAAGTCTTCCCAATTATTCCCTGCCCAGATGCCAACTAGCAGGTAAGGAAGCTCAGTTTCCCCCAGCTGGATCTACCCCACATATTCCAGACACACAGAAGAATGGAGAGGAAGCTGGAACAACCTACAGTAGCAGTTCTTTGCTCATCAAACTTGGTGAGCCTCTGAAGCTCCTTGTAGACTTCTCCACGAGGTGCATGCTCCAGGATCAGGTAAACTCTTGTCACATCATGGAAGTAACCATATAATCTGAGAATGTTGGGGTGCCTGCAAAGAGATTTCAATGTTCTTCTGAACTAAGTGTTTGACCAAAACCTTTCATTTCCCTGTCCTGCTACCCCCCACTTTCAAAGCAAGCACAGGAATTTCAGCTGATCTGTGTTCATTCAGCTCACAAAACACAAAGAAATCTTATCATAAAGAAGAAACCTTATAATCAAGGTTACTTTGTTTATTTGGATGCAAACAGAGTAAACAGTCACTAAACTTTACCTAAGATGAGACTGTATTTCCACTTCTCTTCGTAGTTGATGTTCTACACCAGCTTCCTCAAGCTGTGTTTTAAAGAGCACTTTCAGTGCAAGAATAAATTTGCTCTGTTTTTCACGTGCCAGGTACACATTCCCAAATTTTCCTTTCCCCAGAGGACGACCAATTTCAAAATCCTCAAGAGACCACTGCCTTCTGCAAGAGGAAAGTTAAAAGCTCAATAGTTGTGTTGGCTTTGACTCAAATTTACAGTTTTTAACATTCCTGTTCAAAAGATATTTAGTGCTATTAACTAGATTTTAGTCTTTAAGGCAATACCAAGAGAATAAAATAGGCATTGAGATTTTTCAAAAGGAAGTCCTGAAAGCTATTTTCTTGCTTTTGCAGACACTATACCAACCACACTACTACAAAATGATGATTGTTAACCAAGCTGGGC